GTTGGACACCCGTGGATATGGTTTCAAAAGGAAAGCAAAGTGACCCCCACGTATTCCTGACACAAGCCAAGCTGGAACAATGGCGTCAAGCTGGGTTGAACCTGGCAACAAGCACGTTTCGACGCCCATGCTCACTTCGCATAGCCTTGAACAACTTCCACGGACCTCGCCATCACCAGTGGAGTTGCCCGCTAACACACAGGACCTGGAGACTATTGCTTGAACCTGTTTATATAAGGCTTAGCAGCAACCGAAAGGAGGCGAGGTGCCATACTCATTTGCAAACAACCGCTGATTGCTGGGCGGTTACTCGACTTACCATGGGCACAAAAGGGCACTGACCCGAGATACCTGGAGGCTGGGATCCAGATTGCTATTGAGACTCAAGTCAGCTGTTCGCAACAGAGGCAAGGTCCTTCGAACGAAGTCGGAAGGGTCTTCACTGAGCTTGAACGGAAAGCTGTGTGTCCCCAATTTTTCATCCCACGATGTGACATGTGACACATGTAACACAAACAGCCCAGTCTTAACAGCCCAGTCTTGACAGCTGGGCCCGAGTGGCCCCGCCTGGAGCTTGCGGCTTCAGTGGCTGTTGCCGCTGCCTGAGTGTCAGCACTATCGCCTGGTCCTGCACTTGAGCTTCTGAAACACTCATGCTGCCACAGTCGTTTGGTACCCTGAAGTGCCTGACTGCCCGCGATTGCTTCTGCAACAAAGGCACCTTGCCCCGCTCGTACAAACATAGGCCGAAACGGGCCATTCCCAATGCCTTCCTGAGGCAGCGGCGCGAAAAATATTTTGCGGCGAAGCTCCGTCATAAATCACCCTCCAAGTAAGACACAGTGGATTCGCGTGCGCTGAGTTCACTGCTTGTGGCACAACAGGCAGTTCGGACAAAATTATTTCAGTACACAGCTTGTCTACCTCCATGACACTGCCACCAAACCGCTGGAATAATTAAATACGCAAAACTTGCTTTCACTGTTAGACTGCCTTCGGCTGCGATCAAACATATTGCGTGTCATGTCAACCTGTCAAGTCTTTGCAGCTGTGAGCGACCCAAAATGCCAGGACGCAGCGGCCAAGTCTTGTGCCAACTCATCTCAACCGCAGTCGGTGTCTTCCCCAACACTTTAAGCAAAATAACTGAATCAGGCAACGTTGCTCCTTGCGCGCTGGTGAATTTCAATTTCATCCACTAATTTCAGTATTGATGTTGCCTCATGGGCCTATGCCTGTGCGTGGCTGCTGCAAGGAGCCGTACCCCTTTCCTCTGCTGTCGCTGTGATCTCGGCATCAAATGGCTCCTGGTACGTGGTATGCAGAAGTCTTGCTCTGACTATGGACGCATCACACTGGCAGCATGGTCACGTCATGCTATGGCATGACCTTGTAGCTTTGATTCTTGGGCACAACTTACTCTGCAAAGTCACTCTTTGTGGCAACTGCTGCCTTCGCAGCAGTGAACATTGTCCGTCGGCTGGAAAGGATGCCCGGCTCGACCCTCCTCACATTGCATTATGATATGCCAAGATAAGCTGTTATCTGCACTCACAAGTTATTGCTTGCAGCCAGGCATGTCATCAACAGGAATTGCCAGTGCGTCAACCAGCCTGCAAACCTGCTGCTCCCTGCCCTCGCATCTTTTTCAGGAGTCCGGTTGAACTCTTAGCTGGCGGAAACAAAGACCTCTCCCCGTGCACAACCAACAATTGCAGTTTGTGGCCATATTCTCATGAACAAACAAATTCAATTGAGCCGAAACATGCCAAGCCACTGATCACAGATCCGGGTTGAAGGCCGGGCGCCAAAGCGATTCATTGGTTGCGCATGTGCAAGCCGCGAGCTCGCAGGCAAATCAGTGCGTGGGTATCAGGCCAAGTAGGCTGCCAAATTGAACATATAGTTCAAGCCAGAATTCCGCTTGGCTTCGAGTTCACGCTTGCCTGCAGCATCACATCTCCTTGCAAACCAGCTGCTTCCCGCCTTGCAGCTCTCCAGCGATTCTTTATGCGGTGCTAGCGGAACCCAGGCCGGGCAAAGCAGTCCGCATCACTGCCCCTGCGTTTCAAACGGCACCGCATGGCCAACATCTACACATGCACGGAAACTCCTTGAGGGTACCCGAACCCCCAAAACCGATGCAAACTAACGCGTTCAGAAATGATTGTTACTGGGTGCAGAAAGCATTGAGCAACGCAGGCTCAAATCGGACCAGAATGGGAATGAAAGACAAATGTTCTGCGAAGCCCTGGTGATATCCACCAAAGGCCTCAGAACCCAGCAAGGAAAGCCACACTGTGGGCTTGCCAGTCAAAAGGCCTCTGCAAGGATGGGCCGCGCCGCGGCAACGAACACGTCTCATGCTTGTAGCATCCCATACGGCCCTCGCTGGGTTGCGGGCAAGCCATCTCAGGAGGCGGACTCCGCTTCCAACAGCTCGATGCCTCCGGGAGATGGCTGTGGCGGTGCCTGGCCATGATACGACGCTTTGCGGAAGCAAAACACAGCTCAGGGTTTGGGCTGCTATGGCTGCTCTTTCGATCCAAACAAATGGCACAGATTTGGCCGGGATGTGGCAAACAGGGCTGGATGTGTGAAAAGAGCTAAACGTGAAGGGAACAAATGCTTGCCAGAGCTGCCCGGTAGCTCAGAGTTGCCTTGCCGAAATGCTTGTTCCTAAAAAGTGCCCTAGCACTAAACTCCAAGCGTGCCGCTTCATGATAGCGCATCTTGCGTGAGCAAAACAGAGAAGGCAAGTCAAAACCTGCACGTTTCCCACTAGCGCACACCATTCCGCCGCGACCATGCGGCGCAAGTTCCGCTGGCTAGTGTGTGAGGCGTAAGCCCTGAATCAGGACAGCACAAAGGCTGTCATAAAGGGATCACCGGGCCAGTGTGCGTCCAACTATCGCTACAGTAGCGCCTTGCTAGCGCGCTGCCAGCGCCAAACTCCGCCAGAATCCAATTCCAGAAAGACATGAAAAAGGCCGGTGGGACACAATTGACTTTGACAGCCTCTCACTCGATCCCCCAATGAAAGCTGCGGGCTTAAGCAACAGTTCCGAAGTCAACAACATGCTAGCACCTGGCTAGCGCCCCATGGTGAGTCACAATACTGCACCCTTTGTGTCAACTGTTAAATACAGACTTTTGTCATGGCCGCTGATTGCTTGTTTGGCTCAACGCTTGGGCGTCTTGCTCTTTTGGCCCTGATCTGCTCTGAGTTCAAGCTTTTTGACACAACCCACGCCTCAACCCTATTGTCTAACACATGCACCATCTGCTCAAACGACCCACTCTGATCTGTCTTCCTGGTATTCCCTGCCCGCCTGCGGTCTCCTCTTGGAGTAAAGAACGACTCCTGCACCTGGCACGACCAACGTGCCTGTGGGCCGACGATCCAATGCATCCGGCAAGGGGATTGGAGGCAACCCTTCAAAACCCTCCAAGCAATGCTCACATGCACAACACCCTCAACATCTGCATTCCATTCGCGCTGTTTTGGGGTTCGCTTGAGCTGCGACCCAAGGAGCACTTCAGCAATCTTTGACAGGCCGGACACTTGAAATAGCTATGCAAAGGCCCTTACGCTGGCGCGGATTTTTGGTAAATAATGGGGTAGCGGTGGCGTCTGCACACCTGCCACCTTGGCTTGGTCATCCCACTCGCGAATTCGCACAGCTGCTTCGGCATGGGGCTTCTCGATCCAGTTGCTGGCCTCCTGCTCAGAAAATGTACCTCCCTGTACCTCCAGGGATCGCTTGGAAGCCGGGGAAAGCTTCTCCTGAGCTGGTGTGATATGTGGTGGCCAAGCTTTTCCAAATGTCATGCACACAGGTAAGACGTCAACACATGCACATGTTAAAGATCGATGCGCCTTTCTGAGAAATCATTTCGGGCGCATTGTACGCAATTTCCTAACACACTGCTGGCTGGAATACAAAGCAACAACCACAAGAACATAAGCCTTTTTCATGCAAAGTGTCCCAATAACCTGGGCGTGTTGCACAAAGATACCTCTTTGCATCCACGTGCAGCCGTACGGACTCCGCCACTTGCTCAGTGAAGCGCTGCTCCAGCCAGGTTGCACCCACTGCCTCATGGTTCAGATCTTCGTTGAGAAAGTCATCCTTTCCAGCATGCTCATCTAGGAGGAGGTGGCCAACATCATGTAGCAAGCATGCGGCCACGAGGGAATCCTCTGCACCAGCCCTTTCTGCAAGGCTTGCAGATTGCAAGGCATGCTCCAGCTGTGTAACTTGCGGGTCGTAGAGAGTGTTTCCCTTGCTTGTAAAGAGGTGCTGAACTTCACTGATGACTCGATCTGCAAAGTTTGACTTGCCTTGAAAGTGCTTAATCAATGACAGTGACCCTTCCTCCAGTGCCTCGCGCTTGTGCCGGTAGTACTCGTCTCGCAAGTATCCCTCCTCTTGTGCGTTGTAGGTCAAATAAAGAAGCCGTCTGGGACGTCCACTGGTATTTGCTCGCGAGCGGTGGGGCACATAGGAGGAGAAGATCACCAGATCGCCTGGCTCAGTCTCACAAGCCGTGAAGGGCATGCCTTTGCAGGCTTCTTCGTCGATGATGCCATCTTGTGTCAGGCCAATGAGCCCCTCCTTATGCCGCCCAGACACAAACTCCAAGCAGCCATTGTCCCGGCGTGAGGCATCCACAGATAAGAGTGCGGTGCAATGCACATGCACCTGCTTGTAGGCAGGTGCGTCCTGATGGGCAGCATAACCACCACCTCCAGAGAGCTTGTAGTTGATCTTCTCCTTATAGAGAAACACTTCCCGGCCCATAGCATCTGCCACGTACATAGGGATCCGCCCCAACATGGTGAGCTGGGCAAGACCAGGATGATATGGCACAATGTTCTCTGAGCGAGCCAACATCTTTTGGCCAGCCTCATCCACCTCATAGTGGTGCATCCACCTCTTGGCATCTTCAGGCCATTTGGCAATGTCGTTCAGCCAACCGCTGACGCTGCCAATTTCTTCATGAGAAAAGACTCCGGGCACCCGGACCCAACCGTTCAACTCATAGTGCATCTTCTGCTCCACTGTCATGAGACGCAGCGTTGGCGCATACGATACCCGGCTTACGATGCCTCTTGACCATTGCAGCCCCTTCAAGGGGCGCAAAGCAGTGGCGAGCATAGCTTCACGGTTGAGGCAAACCCTGGATCTCTTTTTGCAATGGGGACGCAATGTGTGCAAGCTACTGTCATGAACCTGTTGCCGAACCACTGTCTGAAGGTCCATGCAGCGACCTGATTCACTTCATTTGCAAGAAACACTCGCCACCAATTGTGGCAAGGCCCATGCAGTCCTGAGCCAAAAATGCAGCAGGCCGCTGGGGGGGGCATGCAACATGCCCATTAAGCAAACAGCTCCAGTGTTCATTTCTCTTATGGCCAAGAAAATGAGTAGCCTGTCTCTGCTGCTTTTCCAGTATCCATGAGCCACTTCACCTTTCCCTGTCGCTTTGGCTCATAAATCAAGTGTGGCAAATGCTCCTTTGGCGCAAGCTACATTGTGTATTTGTTCTTCGGCAATCTATTTTTGGTTTACCTCGCCTGCACCTAGCAGTACCAGAAGCACAAGCACGATGAGGAGAGTGCGGCGGGAGGCGGCGGCAACCTGCCAAGGGCCAGCAGCACACACACACACAAACACACAAGCAAAAACAACAACGCAAACAAAAACACACAAACAAACACACAAGCGCACACACACACAAACAAACAAACACACAAGCACACAAACACACAAGCACACACACACACACAAACAAATGAATGTTTTCCAGCTACAAGCTTCAGAACGGTCTACAAAGCCAGCCCGGATGTGCATGGCCCACCCCGCCCTTTTCAGTTTGGTCATGAAAAGTGAGAGAGTAATTGAATGATCCTTGCAGTCCCGCCTCTTTATCACATTTCTTCTCAGCATCTTCGATGCGGCTGTCCAGCCCCCCAGCCAGCTTGCACCAGGAGACCGCGACACTCAATGGATCCTGCACAAGCAACCTTGGATTCTTCGCCTCTCCCACTCTACCCTGTGGTATCTTCTTCCATGTGAAGCTTCTCCCCCAAAAGGCAACACAAGAGTCTGATATGTCTGCTTCTCCCCCAATTAGAGGTCCAGTCCAGAGGTTCTGATCAGGGCCTAGTGATGCAGAACAAGCTAGCGTAGAGGGCGAGCGAAGACCGGGGCAATACATCAAATTTGTGAAAGGAACCCAATCAGAGCTGCTGGGTTTGAGATGAAGCTTGTGCAAGAGGCAAGTTGAGGCTGTGCCAGCCTTGCGCAGCAGAATGGCATCGGCTTTGAGGGGTTGAGAAAGACAGACCTCCCTTTTAAACAAGTACGCCACTTAGTCTTCAGGTGTAAGCCTGGAGTGATTCACATTATATCTAGATTCGGGCAAGGCTTGCTGGGAGTGTCTGGATGTAACCCATTTGCGCAAAACACGTTGAATCAAGCTGGTAAGTTCTGCTCTGCTCATCCTTCATCTTCCATCAGAAGCGCAATGGAACCCGCCTTGCAGGCGCTGCCCAACTCTAAAGCGGCATTCAGCGCAGTGACAGCCAGGTCCTTGCGGCCTAGTGCGGCGGGAACGCTACGGTCATCTGCCAACACTGCCCCTGGCAGAACAAGCAACACGAATAACGCAACAAGTACAGGTGGGGGCACAAAGACAAGTGCTCAATCCGAAATTGGGCAACACAGGCACCTTAAGAGCTCCTGGTGTTTACCATGCTGTCGCCCGCGTTGGTAATGCGTCAACAAAGCTAGCACGAAAAGACACCGCGCTCCGTGGATTGAGCGTTCAATCGGTTGGCCGTTTACCTTTCTACCGAGAAAGGAGAATGCAATATGAACAAGACTGTGCTGCTCATGCTCTTGAGGTTTGCCTCCTGCCACAAAGGCCAACCCACTTTTCATCTAATACACCACAGCTGCCTACAGCCGTCCAGTTAGACACTCCTGCTTTTGGCATCTTTCGACTATGTTCCTTGACCCATCCGCGAACCCTTTCAGCTTGCGGGGTGCTTAGCAGGGCCGCTCAGCCCCGGGCAGCCCTCAGCCTTGTCTGTGGGGCCAACCTCCAAAGCCTGGCAAAGGATTTGAGGGGATCACACGGGATCTGAGGGAAGGCTGTTGCTAACAAACTGATCCTCCTCCATCCTTGGAATCACACTCATTTGCCTCCGGAATACCTGTCGGTCGCAGCCCTTTGCGCAGAGTTCTGGTGGGCAGAGTGAACAGGAAATTTGGAGCGGTCCACTAAGCCACTCGCCAGTACAAATGATCAGAGACTCAAGAGACGAAACTAAGCCATCTGCATACTGTAAATTGCTTTCTGTTCCAATGCCCAGGCGACCTTGGCTTGCTGGATCATGTCGTGTACCGCATTGAAGTCCTTGCAATTTTGGTCCGCGGACGCCAACGAGTCCTGACTGTCAGAGTTTTGCATCATTCGTGTTTGTGCGATCCTCTTTGGGTAAACGCGTCATGGATTCCTTGCCTTATCTTGCTTAGTATCTAGGAGGACTGGACTAGTGCCTCGCTTGGCATTCCTCACTTGTTCGTGTGGTGGCAAAAATATTTAACGTGCCAGACCTAGCAACCTTGGTTTCTTGGAGGAGGCGATGTGTCAATTTGCACAAAATACACCAATCGCTTGCTTCATCAGCAGGGTTGAGGCTCGGTCACATCTTGACTCATTTGCCCACTGCAGAGTTAGGTGACCCCCCCCCCCCGCCCCCCGAACACTGGCATTTCTTCCCCGCCGAAAAACGAACCCGTCTTCAACCATCGAGCGCGTGGCCAAAAATGCCTCCAGTGCCTGTCCTGAAGGATGAGAATTGCTAGCTTCCGTCTTGCCTGGCAGGGCGGCGATTTGCTCCAATGAGCTTGGGCAAGTGTACCTTCTGCAAAATTGTGGGGGAATTGTTGGCAAATAAGGAGACGCCCCATGGAGATTCAATTAAATAGTTTTCGCCATGATGACAACAGCGGATGCTGAAAATTCCGGTAAGGACAATCTTTATGTTGGAGATATTGAAGAAGCAACAAGGGCTTCGTATAATATAATATGAAACACGGCGAGAATTTGAACATTGGGTGGCGCGCTGGTAGCTCCATGCGGTCAACCAGTGAAATTTAGATACTGCCGGATCTAACCGGCAACTCGTGTGGCATTGCTCGGAATGGTGGGAAACTAATGACTTATACATACTGCTAGCAAGGCTTGCGTATTCTCACACGCACGCTTGTCCTTACATGAAATGCCGTTTTGACGTCTGACTCTGCAGCTCTAATTAACTACTAAGCATGGTCCAAGTTCTCGAGTGGTTCTACAAAGAAAGGAAGAAAGAAAGAAAGAAAAGAAAGAAAGAGAGAAAGAAAGACAGAAAGGATTAAAGAATTAAAGAAACAAAGACTGCAAAGGACGTGCCAAATCGACTGCGGCAGCCAACTCAACCAAAAAGGTGCGCGGGCATGGAGGCACATGGCCTTTCTAGAAACTTCCGCCCTCCAGCTTTGCTGGAGTATACCTGGTAGTGGTAGTAGTAGCAGTAGTAGTAGTAGCTGTCGTAGTAGTAGTAGTAGTAGTAGTAGTAGTAGTAGTAGTAATAGTAGATGTATATGTAGAAGTAGAAGTAGAAGTAGTAGTAGTAGAGCAGCCAGGGGTGTGATGCGGGGGCATGCTTCGGGGCTTTATTCGGGGTACGATTCGCGGGGGCCCACTTCCACCCCCTTCAATCTTGCACACAGGCGAAAAAAACACGCTTATGGAGGCAACGTGGGAGATTGTGCAGCGCTATAGATTCCGAGATTGCCATCACATACGCGATAGCTCTTCACCTCTGGACTTGGACCTACCGTTGCGCGAGGGTTGCACATGTCACATCTGGGTTTGGGAGATCGAAAGAGTCACCAAATAGGGGAAAATTTACCAAACGCAGACAACCGTACAACTTTGAAACACATCAGTCAAAGAATGAGTAGCTTTCCCTGGCGGTTCTGCGCCATTGCGAAATGTTGCTCGTCATTTCCATTGTTCCACTGAACAGCATTGGCGTAGCCAACTTGCCAGGAGGCGGATCAACCACGCAGTCAATTGACAGGGCAGTTGAGGTTCGACTCCCGTGGGGTGACCAATACCCTCGACAGCAAGTCGTATAGTAGTGGTCGTGGTACAAGGGGTTGTAAGGTAAATGATCTGCGTTGTCTCACGACTCGATGCGACCGCGGAATACGAACCCTTTTGCTTTGCTTCACAGCTGTGTTTGGAAGTTTGCCTCGATCCTATTATCAAGGTCTTGAGCCAAATGCATTCGCATGTACATGTCGGCTGCACTCAGAACACATTCAAGCCTTTTTCCTCCTAATCGGGGTTGTGAAACGCAACTGGGGTTGTTGTTTATTAGCGCCTTTCAAGTGGTTTTAAGGGAGGACGACGGCTAGTAGCTTGTGCTTGTAGGCTGCGCACTTGACTCGCGTCACGCTTCAGGTTTCCGGCTACGCGCTGGCCAGCAACGCGCTGGACAAAATAGGCTGGCTGCGCAGGGTTGGTTTAGTAAATAGCGCGATTGGATTTTGAAGCGCCGCGTCCAGTCACAAGCAACGCGCACAATCCGCAACAGCCGCTCAACTTCACGAAGCAACACTAAAACGGTATTGAATGCCCGCACACGGATTGTTGTTGTCCGTCTAGCCGGGGGCTGGGAAACACAAGCAGGGTTGCAAGAGACTGTCGTCTTGCGAGCGCTAGTCTGCTTCGCGATTACTACTATGTCCCAGACTACGACTGTCCTCTGTCAGCCTGTCAGCCAGTCATTTTCCTACTAAGCAAAGTTAAGCGCATGGAGCTTGTGTCTGGCGTTTGCCTCCAGAATGTGGTCGCCCGTGCTCTTGCCGAGGCCCAAATCTGCCGCCAAAGTGGCCACAGCTCGCTTCAAGCCAGCTGGTTCAGGCTGCGGTTGAACCTGCAAAGCATTGATAGGAAGAAAGTCACAAAGATTTTACAACATGGACCCGCAAAAACCCAAAATCTGGCGTTGCCCCACGCTTTGTGGAACAGGGTCGTGCGCAATGCTGTTGTAGCCAGATTCGCCCAGTGACCTTGGCTGAGGTCTGACCAGGTGCTTGAGCTGGCGCCGCTCTTGCTTCAACGTCTGCTTCCGCTTGCAAAAATTGCCGGTTAGTGCGCGCAGCGTCTTCGCAGAGGCGCGGCGTTGCGCCCAATAAACCCGCGGAATATGATAGAACGCTTGCAGCTCTGCTTGTATGCTCAGGACGTCCGTGCGTTGAGCGCAAACGCATTTGCGCAGGCAAACTAGCCTCAGAACCTGTTTGCGTGCAGTAAGTGTCAGAAGTGGCCTTACATTGTTCCGGCTGGAGTTGTTCGCAAGCCTGTCCACAAGCATACTGGCTCGAGGTTTGCGCGATCGCTTGCTACAGAGGTCTCAAGGCTCGCGCGGGCGCCTGTCAATCCAACATGGCACGGCAGACCGTTGCTTCCACGCCAGAGGCAGATGTTCCAGTCCGTGCCGGCGACTCTGGGTGAGTTGCGCGCAGCGCGTTTGAAAGTCTTTGCAAAAAACCATGAGAACCTTTTTGAATCGACGTGATTTTGGGCTCTGCGCCCTGAGAAGCGCTGTGCGCAAACACTTGTGATGCAGGATTGCCACTCGAAGGCTGCCTTCCGAATATGTGCTTGTAGGGTTCGAGTCTGTCAGCAAACCTTCGCTGACTGCTTCACAAAGACCGCTGTCAGCGCACAAACTCTGCAAGGAACAGTTTCGAAACCGTCTTGCAGGGACTGCTCTACAGGCAGCCTGCAAGCGCTTCGACGCAAGGCCTGCTCTGCAGAGCTGTTCTGCTGGCGCTGGTCAGTTTGCGAAAGAGGCGGTTTAGTCCGCAATTTCAGTTAAGCGCAGGGCTGCCGCGCGGGACTGCTGAGAAACGCACTACTGTGCAGGGACTGCTGCGGCTGCACAGGGGCTGCTGCGGCCTGGTGTGCCAGGGCTGCTGCGCAGGGACTGCGCAAGGACTGCTTTGCAGGCACTGGACTATTGCGCAGAAACTGCTGGCAGGGACTTGAGCGAAGGGACTGCTGTGCCAGTGCAGGGACTGTCCAGGGACTACTTTGCAACGATTGCCTTGCAGAGACTGGTTTGCCGGGACTGTTTTGGGAATGTTGCGCGGAACTTACGCGCAAGGACTGCTGTTCAGGGAGTGCCGTGCAGGGACCGCCTTGCAAGGACTGGCGCACCAGGGTTGTTGTAGGGACTGGTCCACACGCGTCGTAGCAGGCACTGTTTGCGGGAAGGGGTTGCTGCGCAGGGACTGCTGCGCGCAGACTTCTTTGACAAAAGCTGATGCGCCGGGACTGCAGTGCAAGACCGTGCGACGCACGGACTGCTGTGGAGGGGCTGCTTGCATTGTTCTGCAAGGGGCGCTTGGCACCTTAAGCTGGCTGCCTTGAAGAAACTGCTCTGCAAGGCAAGGAGAGCCTTGTCAGCAGAACCAAAATTCCAGCAAGATCAAGAAACACATCAGCAAGAACAACAAGTTTTGTGCAGAATCTTGGCATCCACGGCCGATTTTGTGCAGAATGCGATCAGCGCCGCGACAGTTTGTGCAGAATCTCAACAAAATTCGGCGCAAAAAAAATGTGCCGACATTCTGCGCTACTCTTGTGCCAGCACAACAGTCTGACATTCGAGCCACTCTTCGGCCAACAAAAATGGCAATTCGACACAAAACGCTACCTGATTCTGGAACATTGGCTTCTGCCTAATGCCAATGGTTTTAGGCACAACAAAGACTTGTAAAACCAAAAAACCTGAATTTTGTTGTGTTTTGGAATGAGAAAAGCTGATATTTTGGTTTTACAAGTCTTTGTTGTGCCTAAAACCATTGGCGTTAGGCAGAAGCCAATGTTCCAGAATCAGGTAGCGTTTTGTGTCGAATTGCCATTTTTGGGGGCCGAAGAGTGGCTCGAATGTCAGACTGTTGTGCTGAATGTTGCCGGGGTCAGGCAATGGTTTTTGCCGAAGTGCTCTTTTCCGGGCACAAGAGTAGCGCAGAATGTCGGCACATTTTTTTTGCGCCGAATTTTGTTGAGATTCTGCACAAACTGTCGCGGCGCTGATCGCATTCTGCACAAAATCGGCCGTGGATGCCAAGATTCTGCACAAAACTTGTTGTTCTTGCTGATGTGCTTCTTGATCTTGCTGGAATTTCGGTTCTGCTGACAAGGCAGTCCAGGCACCAGCCTAAGATAGGACCAGCCTAAGATAGGACCAGCCAACCAGTCCCATCGATCGGCGCAAGTTCTGCCAAGCGGTGCGCAGAACAACCCTGGCAAGCAGCCCCTCCACAGAAGTCCCACATGCTTGCGCTCAGTTTTTGCAAAGAAGTCCGTGCGCAGCAGTCCCTGTGCAGCAGCGCCTGCGCAGCAGTCCCAACCCCGGCACGCCAGTCCCTACAAAACACAATCCCTGAACAACAATCCTTGCTTCCGTACAACTTGCGCAGTAGTCCCTGCGCTGCAAGGCAGCAGCAGCCCTTGCGCTCAAGTCCCTGCGCAGCAGGATTTTGCGCAGCAGTCCCTGCACAGCAGGCCAGTCCTTGCACACCAGCCCCTGTAGCACAATCCTCACAGCAGTCCCTGCACATGAGTTCCTGCGCAAAAGTTTTGCACTGCAGTCCTGTTTAGCAGTCCCTGCGCGGCAGTCCCTGCACAGCGGTCAGCTGTCCCTGCGCAGCCCTGCGCACCAACTTCAGAAGGCAGCGCAGCAGTCCTTTCCCGCCAATGACCATTGAATCCGCGCGCAACAGCCTGCGGAGCTAGCAATTCTGAACACTTCGATTTGGGATTGCAGACCAGCAATTTCTTTTGCAAACTAGCTTTGACAGAGCAGTTTGGGGGGTTTTCAGCCCTACAAGTCAGCCTTTGCGGAGCAAGCGCCAGCAGGACAGCCCTGCAGCGCAGGCCTGCGTCGGAGTGCTTGCAGTCTTTGCAGAATTTGTGCGGCAACAGTCTCCTTTTTATTGAAACAATCAAGCAAAGCCCTGTTGACAGACTCGAGCCCTACAAGCACGTATTCGGAAGGCAAAACCTTCAAGCGACAACCCCGCAGCCCCCGGTGTTTGCAACGCAGCGCTCGCTTCTCAGGGCGCGCGCTTCTGCTAGCCTTGTTGGCGACAAGTAGGCCCCAAAAGCACGTCAATTCAAACAGGTTCTCTTGTTTTTTGGTGGACAAGGTTGCGAACAACTGAAACTTTCTCGATCAATGTAAGGCCACTTCTGACAATTACTGCACGCTGGCGGAAAACTGGTTCTGAGGCTAGTCTGCCTGCGCAAAAATGTTTGCGCTCTATGCGCGGGCGTCCTGAACAAACAAGCAGAGCTGCAAGCGTTCTATCATACTCCGGTCTTATTGGGCGCAACGCCGCGGCTCTGCGAAGAAACTACGCGCCAGACGTTGAAGCAAGAGCGGCGCCAGCTCAAACACCTGGTCAGGCCTCAGCCAAGGTCACTGGGCGAATCTGGCTACAACAGCATTGTGGGGCAACGCCAGATTTTGAGGTTTTTGCGGGGCCATGTTGTAAAATCTTTGTTGAAGCAAGGCGTGGGATATGTTGGTCCCGACTTTCTTCCTATCAATGCTTTGCTGGTTCAACCACAACCTGAACCGCAGTTGGCTTGAAGCGAGCTGTGGCGGCAGATTTGGGCCTCGGCAAGGGCACGGGCAGGCGTCAACGCGCGGGCCGCGTTCTGGAACGGGGCACCAAACACCAGAAGCAAGCTCCATGCGCTTTGAGCTGCAGCTTTGCTTACAGCTTTGGTTGCGAGCTGGGAGCTTGGCAAGTAGGAAAATGACTAGCTGATGGGCTGACTGAGGACAGTCGTAGTTTGGGACATATAGTAGTAATTGCGAAGCAGACTAGCGCTCGCAAGACGACAGTCTCTTGCAACCCTGCTGGTGTTTCCCAGCCCCGGCTAGACGGACAACAACAATCTGTGCGCGGGTATGCTGTTTTAGTGTTGCCTCCTGAAGTTGAGCTGCTGTTGCGGATTGCGCGCGTTGCTTATGACTGGCGCTTCAAAATTCAACGCGCAGCCAACTTTTTTTGTCCAGCGCTTAAGCTGGCCAGCGCGTAGCCAGGAAACCTGGAGCGTGACGCAAGTCAATCGCTTGGATGCGCGCAGCCTACAAGGACAGGCTAGTAGCCGTCGTCCTCGCTAAAAACCACTTCAAAGGCGCTAATAAACAACAACCCCAGTTGCGTTTCACAACCCCGATTAGGAGGAAAACGGCTTATTCCCCAAAAGGTTTAGGACCTTGAACAAGGGGAAGTAACAGGGTGACCTTCAGAACCTGCCCTTAGGATGTTTTTGCCTTGCGGCTCGGAGATTCTTAGCATCCCCCATCCCGGGCTTGGGTTCATTGCTGGGTCGGGAACCAATCACAAACGCATGCCGACACGCATGGACGCACGGCTCCTCTTTTACTCAATTCAGTGAAACGTCTCTGCGCGAGCTTGGCCAGGTTCTGTAAACTGATCATGAAATAAGAACGCTACAGGTCTCTTACCAGACCTCATGTGCAGTGATGCACATGCAGCAAGCTATCTATAAGGTACTTGCACAGCTCCATGGCAGTCTGCAGAAAACATATATCCATGACGAGCATAGTCCATCACCAATTCGTAACCAGTAATTATTGTAGCATCGTATAATCGTTGACCACCAAGTACCTGGCATCTCCAGAATAGTAGTCGTGACGATACTGTACGGAAACAAGAAAACATTTTGTGGTGATAAACGCAAGTCTCGTGCGAATACTTTTGGAATGCCCGGTGTACCGTTCATGACGGGTATCACCTTGGGCTGGCCATGATATCATTCACGATGAGTATCACGACTTCGTCTTGTATATAATTGCAAATTCCAGGCGGTCTCCCATGTAGAAGA